GTAGGCGTTTCTACCAGTAAATGAATGAGATTTTCTGTTGCTCCACATTCTTGTCATAATTCAGTATTGTCTGTGTTTTGAGTTTTGGTCATTCTTAAATGTGTGTAGTGGTGTCTCACTGTTTCAGTTTGCATCTCCCCAATGCCATAATATGGGCAGCATCTTCTCGTGGGTTCATATGCCATCGACACGTCTTCTTTGGTGAGGTGACTTTAAGGACTTGGCCCATCTTTTCATTAGGTTGTTTGTTTTCTGATTGCTGAGATTGAGTTCTTTGTATATTTTGGATAGCTGTCTTCTATCAGATACATCTTTTGCAAATATTTTCCCCTGGTCTGTGGCATATCTTCTCATTCTCTCGACTCAGCACCATTTAGCACAGTATAGATGACTAATGAATATTAAGTTACTTGAACGAATTAGTTAAACTAAAAAAGAAGTCTATGGTTCTGTTCTAGGTGCTGGTTACACATGGGTGTTCATTCTATTCCTTTGTCAAGATGTATACATTTTTCTCTATGTAAGTTACTGGAAAAATAGAAGTCCATAAAAAAAGTATGATTTGAAAGACAAATTTCCAACTTTTATGAAATATCTACCTCTCTGATAGCAAATTTGAATTTGAAGAGACCTTAGAAAAAAATCTAGTCCAGTTCTCACATTTTACAAATGACAACTTAATTATAAAGGCACGGTCTGCAAATTGGCCAATAGCAGCAGTGTCCCAACAGCCCTAGAATCTGGTAGCTGCTATTGGAGCCTCTAGCTCACAGCCCTAGAATCTGGTAGCTGCTACTGGAGCCTCAGATTTCTCCTCTGAAAAAAGGTGGAGATAGTAATACACTGCCCTCCCTGGGCTAGATTGTTAAAATCCTAGGATTTAAAATCCTGAGGATTAAGTGAAAATAACATGGGTGAAAATATGTATGTACTCCTGTGTTCAAAGCAACATTATTCATAGTAGCCAAGTCATGGAGCCACTAAGCGCCCAACCACAGATGAGTGAATAAAAAGATTGTGAACTATAGACTCATTGGAATACTACTCAACTGTTAAAAAAGGAGGAGATGGTGTCTTTTGAGACAAAATGGATGGATTTTGAGGTGATTATGTAAAGTGAAGTAAGTCAGAAAGTGATAGACAGGTACCGGATGGTTTCACTTATTTATAGAATGCAAGTAACCAAAGAAAACAAAGCACAACAAAGCACAGCTGGTAAAGCATAGCAAAAATAATTATTTTACTCTATGAAGAAAATATACTTGCTTCCAGAGGGAGCGGGTGGGAACAAGGAGGACATAGAGGAAAGAGGAAGTAGAAGATGCACTGGCTCAGAAGTCTTGGTGGAGGATGGTGAAGCATGTGCACATATAAAGATGTGAAGATGTACCCCCCAATTACATAAATATGCCAACAATTGACCAAGTAATACAATATGAGGGGAAAATGCTTAATAACCATGAAAAAATATCTAGGAAGTGCTAAGTCTGGACTTGTGCAGTGTAAGAACTCTGTTAATGGCTGTGGTTTATTGCCACTGCTGCCGTCTCAGCCCCTAGCACAGGACTTGGTATACAGGATCGTCTAATAAATAAATTCTATTCTATCCTGGCATTTGAAAGAGAGAGGGGAAAGATGGAGGTGATTTTAGCACTGGTATTCAAGAACAAATAGAATAGCACCTGTCCAAAAAATTTAAAAGATGTGCTTAGAATGGAAAACAACAGCCAGCTACAGGAGTGTGCATTTGTAAGCAAATGAATGGCATGTTTCCAGCATCTTAAAATGTTAATTAATATTTATACTATGAATGTTCAGCCTTTCCTTTGCACATCAAGTTCCTGCCAGTCAATTTCATGCTCTTTCCCCCAAACCCAGCTTGTAGAACTCAAGCTGGGGGCAGCTCAAGTCATAGCTCTAAGACAGCTTCAAGCCTCTCATCCCAGGCCCTGACCCTAAGGCTGCTTCACTGGGTAAGATCTTGAGAGAAGGCAGGAGATTCCCACCAGCCTCAGAGGGAAACTAAGCCCCGGGTTTATCTCTTGGTCTATTGTTTCAGAAAGCATTTCATTTTTTTAAAAATAAACATTTACCAGTGTGAATTTGTTAAATATAAACATTTAAAATCCACTACATTTAAAAAAAAAAAAAAAAAAAAACAACTCTGCTTTGACATTTCCTTATTTCTACCAGAACTTAAAAAACTGGAAGTGGCTTAGAGCTTCCCTTCGATTCAGCCTCAGAGAGAACCTGGTACAAAGCCAAGAGTAACATGAGAGTAGTAACAGGAGTAACAACCTGCACTTACTGAGCAGGAGAGCAGAGGGGTGGTGAGGAATATGGGCTCTGGGACCTATTACCCACATTCAATGCTGGTCTGGTTCTGGCTGGTGACCTTGGACAAGTTCCAGCATTTTTCACTGACAGTGAAAAAAGTAACTTCTTAATAAGGCAGTTATGAGGACCATGTGTATTAAAATGTAGTGCATTTAGAGCAGAGCTTGGCACCTAATAAGCACATAATAAGCAGTCAAATATAGATTTTTAAAATACTTCAATGTGATTTCTCTGAACTCAGGAGTTAGGTACGATTATCATTCCAATTTTATAGAATGAAATTTAGCCTTAGCAGGAGATTAAATAACTTGCCTGTGGTCACCTCACTGGTAAATAGCAGAGACAAGACTCAAATCCAGGCCTCAAGGATGGTCAAGACCATGTACATCATGACTCTGTTTTGTTGTGTTATTTGGAATAGTGAATAATTAAGAAACAACCTAACAGTTCAATAAAAATGAGTGGTTAGGGCCTCCTTTGTGGCGCAGGGGTTAAAGTCTCAGCACTATCAAACTATCACCAGCCACTGTGGCATGAGTTCTAACCCCAGCCAGGGAGATAACCTAGTAGACCACTCCTGGCTTACCCACTGCTCCCCTCAGCAGTGTATTTCAGTAGAGCTGCCTGTTCTGCTCCCCATTCTGTCTCTGGTGAATTCTCTCAACCCCCGCTACCTCTGACCTACACCCCAGTTTTTATATGCATAAATAAATAACAATAAATCTTTTTTTTAAAATAATAAATTTTATTTTTATATTCCCCATACAATTGCAGCCCCCCCATTCTGACCCCAATCCCTCCCCTCCCGCCCCCGCCCCCTAAAAGTGTCTCTGGTTCATAGTTTTTTGTTCATTTTGATTTTTACTTTCTTATAGTTATTCATTTTCCTGGTCCCTTATTTAAGTTTTCTAGATTCCTGCTATGAGTGAGACCATCCGGTATTTTTCTTTTTCTTTCTGGCTTATTTCGCTGAGCATGATCCCTTCCAGCGCCATCCATGTTGCTGCAAATTGCATGTGTTTATCTTTTTTGAATGCTGAGTAATATTCCATGGTATATATGTACCACATCTTCTTGATCCAGTCATCTATTTCTGGGCATTTGGGTTGTTTCCAAAGCTTAGCTATTGTAAACAGTGCTGCTATAAACATAATCTTAAAAACAAAAAAAGAATGGTAAAATAAACTCCGGTGTATCTGCATGAGGATATGCAGCCAACAATACCACATCTGTAATCTGGGCAGACTGATCCTGAAAGCCCTGATCACTGGCACAGCTATATGCTGCCCCTGGCATCACCAGGTCTGAGAGCCAACACTAACCTGAGCATTAAGCTCTGTCTGCGAGAAGCTGCTCCTTGTGCTGAGGTTCTGAGAGCAGAGATCCCTGATAGGAAATGCCTTCTTCCCTTCTTTACCGGCATAGATATTCTCTGAACTCTTCTCCAAACATCCCCAGATGGAGGACAGGAATAGAAAAAAAAAAAAAAACTAAAAAGGAGGTGCCACAAGACCAGAAACCTGGCTCACCCAAGGAGGTGGGGGCAGAAGAGACTAGCATAACCATCCACACAGTTGCGGAAAGTAGTATCCTTAGGCACAGATTATAAATATGGAGATTGAGCCCATTGTAGAATCTCCAGTCCCTTTCAAATTCTATGTAGTTACCCAAAATTAGCAACCAACTGAGGGCTCACAAAGATGAGCCCCTCCCTACCAAAAGAAGCTGATAAAACCTAATGCTGCCCCCTCAGAGGGGCAGTTCTTCCTGCCCTCTGTGTCTATGCAAGTGTACTATACTTTTCTGTCCCTTTTCCTAATAAACCTGCCCTTTAAATACAATAACCATCTCTGTCTGGCGGAGAAACTCCCAGGAAACTAGCTGTGTGCCGCTGACAGGGAAGCTCTGGTGAAACCTTTCCCAAAGTGAACCCAAGGACCCTGCACTAACTCACACCACATCATCCCCCTCCAAGAAACCTCCAGAATGACCACAGCCCAGATGTACCTCTGCCAAGGTTCTATTTGAGCAGCTATTGGATGCATTTGCAATTTACTCAAGTGCAAGTATCATGTCCCATCTCACCCACCCCCACACTAGAATGTAACTGCTTAGAAGGCAGGAACTGTGTCTTACTGACATGGTCCATGCCCAGGACTTAATATAGTGTATTCAATAAATACTAGTCATAGCCAACATTTGTTAGCAGCTTACTATGCATTCAACCCTCCCCTGAGCATCTCAGTGTTTTCAGAAAGTCAGGGCAAATGGAAAAGAAGAGCCTCACCCTCCCTCAGCCCCCACCTGCCCTGCCAGAACACCAGATAAGGAACAATAGATTCAAGTGAGCCCCAGGCTAAATGTGAAGGTGACAGGGGAGCTAAGACCTTGCTATGACACCCAAAATCCCTAATCCATACTTAACCTCACTTGCAAAATGGATGAAGTATTAGGACCTACCTGGAGGGCATCTTTGAAGGAATGAGAGAGATAAAATCTGTGTTTAACTTTTGGGCAGGGCCAAGCTAGGTTAACAAACACTAGCACTATTCTGGGGAAAATGGGTCCAGGCTGCAGGGCAGAAGCAGTGCCTGCTATGCTGTTTCCGTAGTCTTAATACCAGTAAAAGGAAACAGGCCAGTCTCACCAGCTTCCAAGTGGTACTAGAGGGAACAGTGGTCAGAGCTGTCATAGTCTCCTGAGACTCAGTGATCCCGAGCAAGATGCAGAGAAACTTGATGACAGATGGGAGGAACCTACCCTTGTGGCACAGGTGAGGACACGGTTTCAAACCTGGGGTAAGAAGGTGGGGTGCCGGTAGCCTAGGACACCAACCTTTCTGTGACTCTGGTAGAGCAGCCTGAGGACACCTGGCTGTTCGGGGGGTTTTATTGGGACCAGGTTGGAGAGGACAAGGATAGGAGAGTAAGGAATGGAAACCTTACAGTTTGGTGGAACAAACACTGACATCTGACTTACTCTCTGCCAGGACTAACTAAATGCTTAACTCGTACTGACACATTTCTTCCTCCTGGCAGCCAGCACGGGACATCATTTCCATTTGTGTTGTTTTTGGAGGAGGAAATAGAAGCTTAATAACTTGATCAAGATCATCAAGTAAGTAGTAAGCGTGTAGCCAGGATCTGAATCCAGGCAGTGTGATGGGGAGTCTGTTCTTCTTCCGCTCAAACACTTTTTACAAATCACAGAACCCTCAGGACAGAAGCCAGCCGAGAGAGGCATCTAAGGCAGGAAGGCAGCTCACCCCAACAAAGGTGAGCCCCCAAGAACAAGCCAGCCACGCTAGGAGCATCTTCCCCAAGCTGTGGGCTTGTGTTAATTGTGAAGTATTTTGCCAAAATGTAGCCCATTTGATCTGTTTGGGCTGTTAGGACAGTGGGGAGCCAGAGAGAAGTGTCTGGGGTTCATTTACAAGGGGTGTTGGTTGGTCTAGGTTTCCAGCTGTCAGAAGGCTCAGCAAATTCCCTGCTAGCAGCACCAGCCTGGTGGGCCAGGCAGCTGCAGGATGGTTCTCCTCTCATCACTGGGCAGGGTTTATTTTCTCTGGTGACTCTGTAATCTCTCTACGCCCTGCCTGAGTAGGACCAGAGGGCCGATGGGATGATAGATTTCAGAAGTAGACTTTGTGTTGACAACTTATTATACAGCTTATCATCAAGAGACAAATAAAGTGCCCCGGTGATTCATGCTGACATTTCCCCCCTTGACAGCTGCTGAAAGACAGGTATACTGTGTGTGGTGTGGAGGGGAGACAGAAGGCAATGCAGCTTGTGCTTGAGGCCCTTCTGGGGTGGGGTGGGCAAGTCAGTTTTATTTGTCTGCTGTGATATAAAGATTAAAAGCCCTGGGGTTCCTTCTAGACACAAGAGTAAATGTAATCTCCATTAATGCCTACCTTAGAGCTAAATTTACATCTATTTAGCCAATCTTTTCTTTTCAGTCCTTACTCTTGCTAATTCCCTACAGGAGCATGAGGGATCTTGGCCCTTGGTGCCCAGGTCAAAAGACAAAACAGCTTTCAAACTTCTTGATCTGAATCCTTATTCATTGTCTGTTGAGTATATGCCCAGGGAAATAGAGAAGTGGCAAGGATGCTCAGAATTCACCTGCCACTTCTAAGGCCAGCAAGGGGAGAGGAAACCCCAAAACCCTGGGAGCCTCTGAAACCCTGTGTGGCAACTCTTGTAAGTTGGATCCGCCACCCCAAATATAAAGTTTTTTTTTTTATTATGAAATAGTTGAGACAGACAAAAAGGCAGAGACATTACTATGATAGAATAACAATTTACCAACTATCTATCTTAAGTAATAAGCTATAATCAGGATGGTCCAAACCCCTGTGTACCACCTTCAGGTCACCCTCACTTCCCTCCACTCTAGAGAAAGCCCCCAAATTGACTTTGGTGCTTATCAGTCCTGTTGATATCTTTAAATTTTTCTTACATCTCTAAGAATCCCTACACACCACATTTTGTGGTTTCACTTATTTAAATAGGATTATGTAGTATACACCTTCTGAGATTTGCTTTTATTATTAAACCTTTAAAAAATAAATCTCTCATGCTCATCCATGTATATGGTTTGTTCATATACATATTTTATTGCTATAGTGTATTGCATTGTATGACTATCTTATAACTTATTTATCCAGTTTATTTATATTTCTATTGATGAACAACTCTGTTGATAACATTATGCTTTTGCTTGTTTGCTATGCCAGTCACTGCTTTGTGCTGCACAGAGGTGTAAGGGTTGCCCTAGGATGTGTATCAGGAATTGAATTTCTGAGTCAGAGTTTGACCATCTTGAGTTTCATAAGCTATTGTCAGGATGACCACAAAAATGACTGAGACTCATGGGGAATCCCATCAACAGTGAGGAGGGTTTGAAGTTTTTATATCTGGCCAACATTTGATGTGCCAGATATTTTCATTTTTGCCAATATGCTGAATGTGAAATGATATCTTATGAATTATTTATCTATAGAGAATAGGTAATGCAGGTTACTGCCATCTTACCTAACTAGCTTGCGTCCTATTAAGTTGTAGTTGGATGTTATGCTGGGAATAGCCTTTTTGTTTTGTTTGTTCATACTGTATTTTTGTATGCCTTTTGCAAATGGAGTTGTTTTTGTACAAGAAAGAAACCCTTGCACAATTCTTCTATTGCAAGAGTCTGATTTATTTTGGAAGGCAAGTTTACCTGAAATTTTGTAGTTAGTTGTAATTATGTATTGCCTGATTTTGAAATCTTGCCTTCTAGGAAGTCTTCTATCTAATAAAAAATTTCTCAAAAAAAAAAATACAGCTCTGTCATGACTAGTATGTGTGAGCTACTTTTATGTACTTGTTGACCAGTTGGATTTTCTCTTCTGTGAATTGCCTATTCATCAATCTTGCCCATTCTTTGATTTCGAAATCTGTCTTTCTATACTTTTTTTGTATAATTTCTTATACAGCATGGACACTTGGGAAAATAATTTTCTTTCAGCCTAGAACTTGTCTTCTCACTTTTTGATAGTGTTTGAGACATATTTAAGTTATGGTAAAATACACATTTTGCCACATAAAATTTACCATTTTAACCACTTCTGCATGTACAGTTTTGTGGCATTAAATACATTGACATCAACCATCATCACATGCACCCTCAGAACCTTTGCATCTTTCCCAGCTAAAACTGTGCAGTTTGAGATTTTAATGGAGCCACAATTATCAGTCTTTTGCCTTTTGGACTGAACTTCCTCTACGTTTTTGAACTCCTTTATATTCTCGAGTATTGTCTCTTAAAGACTTGCTTTTCACTTTTATGTCTTGACCCCTCTTGAATTAATTTTAGGGAAATGAATGAAGTAGAGATCTATTCTCATTTCTTTCCATACAGACAACCAATTGTTTCAGCATAGTTTTATTGATTAGACCTTCTTTTCCTCTCTGACCTTTAATTTTCATCTGTCAAATATTTCCATATATGCAAGGAGCTATTTCTAAGCATTTTGTCCTTTTATATTGGTCTGTTTTTTCTCTCTCTGTGCTGGACCATGTTGTCCTAATTGTCACAGGCAATTGCAGGTACTTATTTCCTCCATACTTTCACTTACCATTTGATTCCTTTCCAGGATTGTCTTGGTTATTTCTGGGCTGCTGCTTTTTCATAAATTCTGGAACCAGGCTGTCAAAATCCATGAAAATTTTTCTCATAAATTTGATTGGAATTGTATTGAGTTTGTAGATTAATTTGAAGAAAATTAAGTATTCCTGTTTATAAATATGGTCTATTTCTCAGATTATTTAGGTCTTCTTTAATGTCTTTTTATAATGCTTTATAATTTTCTCCATGAATACCTTTTGCTATATCCATTTGTAGATACTTTAAACCTTATATTTCACATTATTATTATAAATATATTTTTAAAGGTACATTTCAAATTATTTGTTGTTAGTGTAAAGAAATGCAATTTTAGCTTTTGTATGTTGAGCTTATATCCAGCAATCAAGTGGAACACCGATCAAGCTAATAACTTTTATAGTGGAGAAATAGGATGTGAGATATTAATTAATTTGTTCCATGTCATATACCTAATTAGTATCTACTTTCTGTGGGGGAACAAAGATAATGTGAAGATGATAACTTACATAGTATTTAATTCAAGTTTCATTTTCAACTTTGACTCATTTATGCATTCACAAAGATGTATTACAAGATCCCTATTACATTTTTGATTTACAGTATTTTCAATGCACTCAGTACTGTTAATCTACTGCACATCATAACTTTAGCTAGCCTACTTTAAATGTATTTAAAACACATTAGCCTATGGTTGGGCAGTATCATACAACACAAAGCCTATTTTCTAATAAAATGTTGAATATCTCAGACACAGATGAGTGTTTTATAGATGTGATTGAGTGTGAAAATAGAAAACACAATATCCAAACAGCACTGGTAGCACAAAACAATGCAGACCCCTGGGTTTTTAGCCTTGTTGACCGCACAGCTGACTGAGAATGATGGCTCACTGCGGCTGCCCAGCCTAGAAGAAAGCTAGCCCAGGAAAGATTAAAATTCAAAATTTGAACTAAGGTTCTACTGATTGAATATTACCTCTACATGTCAAAGTAGAAAAATTTTAAGTCTGTTGTTCTTTTGCCTCATTCAGAGGTCTAGTTGACAGACTGGAGGCGGGCTAAAGTCTCTGATATGCATTTGAGGAACTAGTTCATTTTCACATGACCTCTTGCCCTCTTCCCAAAAAGATGCTAACTAGTCCTAGAGGACACAAAGAAAAGAAGGCATGTGAAAATACAGGGCTTTTTAGATGATCCAGGAAAGTTATAATGAAAGTATACAAGTGAGCTTTGTCCTTTACCTTATCGCCAAACCATATGGCTTAATTTCATTTTTCACTAAAAAAAAATTCTTATAATTTAGGGCATAGGATTTTACTTGAAATTTGACATGTTGAATAGAAAGGTAAATTTTGGGGCAGAGTGTAATAGTAAAGAATGATGGAGAAAGTTTCAGCTGACTTTTATGGATAATGGAAAAAAGTTCATTAAAAATATGTGATGCTGTTTTCCAATATCACCTCAAAATGAGTTTCTATGCTTTGAAATTTCAAATTTAATGCCAGAGTGCTTGATAAAATGAATGTGTTGTCTATGTCAAAAAATAAAAAGTGAGAGAACTCATTCCCTTTTCTCATTCAGAAAATTCCTTTTTTTCCACCTGAATTTGAGAAGGGTACATTTATTATATCTAAGGTGGGAATACTTCAGGTGCTTTTTATTTTTTTATCACAGAGGCTTGCCACAAATCTACTAACTAGAAACCAAGATATTTGATTAGATTTTAGCCCAATGGAGTGCTTAGGTTGTTACAGATGAGGTGTACATAAAGCTCACTGTAGTAGCCAAATACATTTTACTACAACATAAACGCAGATACAAGTAATGAAAAATTCCCTCTTGCTTCATTTCCCAACATGCTGTCTTCATATTAGTAGATTTTGTGTGCACTTTCTCTCCTCCACTGGTAGCATTATGACATTTCCTTTTCCATGCATTCAAGATTTAATAACTTCAACTATAGTGAAC